CCTCTGGTTGGCTGCGGTTTTGGGGCGCGGGCCCGTACACGCCTCTGATTGGCTGCGGTTTTGGCGCGCGGGGGCGTCCCTTAGGGAGCCGGCTGGAACCGGCTGCGAGTGGTGCGGGGTGTCTGCTGGCCTCCTGCCACGCTGCGTGCGGCCCCGCCGCCGGGGCCCTGCTGTTTATGCCCCTGTTACGCTGTTCTGCTGCAGTCGGGGTAAAACGTACAAGCTTGTCCCCTTCCCAAGGCAGTTCATTTGCAGCTGAGGTCAGACACCAGATTCCCAGTGGCTGAAGAGAGGAGACAGAGGACTCAAGAAGTTCCCAGTCTCCATCCTGCCCTGGGGGAATGTTTGCCCTGTGCTGACAGCCCTTGTTATGCCTGCCCAAAACCAGAGCTTTGGTTGAACCAGGTGATCGCAACCCCTTGGTACAAACCGTATGCGGAACTTCCCCTTGGCGAGGAGCGTGCACCTGGTAACAGGGCAAGGCCTTGCTCTCAGTTGCGTGAGGATTTCTGGAGCGTTGGAGAGCTCTGCTAGTCTGCTGCAACATAACGAAGACAACTCTCAAGACTAGGCCAGCGCGTATTTAGTAATACTCCTGTAACTAGGGAAATTTTTGAATTATCCCTCACTGTTAAGCTGCTAATCTTAATAGCCCCTGAAGACTGTCAAGACATCAAGCCTAAGCTGATATGGATAAATATTTCCTCTCATCCATGGAGTAGAGTATCCCAGTAGTTTCATATTGTATTTGTCTTCATACTAATTGTAGGTGCATGGAGAATTGCCGATTGGAGGAGTCTTGAATTTTCACACGGAGCAATTTGCTATTTCTTCTGTAAAAGAAAATACCAATGTTGGAGTGTGCTTAACACCTCTTCCTAGTGAGCAGGAAAGTTACTAAAATCATGATTCTCTAACCTAAAAGATTGTGTGACATGAACTTAGATAACGTGTCATAATTCAAGTTGTTTGAAAACTGATTTCAAGGCAATCATAAAGTTGGCGTTTTGAAAAAAGTACATGATTCTGCCTGAATCACAGACCTCTGTGCATATGCACTGCTTGATTTTCCAGGTCATATTGCTATTATTTTTTATTTAGAGTCAGGAACGGGGGATTTACTTATTCTGTGTGGGTGAGCAAATTTAAGCAGGAAAGAGAAATGTGGAGGATTCATATGCATGCTAGGATGTTTAATAATTCTGCAAAAGTTTTGTCTAGAGATTGATGCTGAAATATTAACAGTCTGGCCACAAGCAAGTTAAAGATCATGTATTATTACACTTTTGAGAAGGAAGTGGTGTAATGGCACAGCACTTGTTACTATAGGGATGGTTGTGGAAACGGTGTCCGCTCCTGATGTAACTAGCCATGCTTAGGTTTAAGCTTAGGTTTAGGGCTTCATGAAACACAGAATAAAAAAAAAAAGATGAACAAAACTGCTCTGGAGTTAATGTGTTTCACCTTATCTGCACAAATTTACACTGATGGATAATATGAGGCTGTATACCTTACTTTGGATAGCATATTCAGGAAGGATATTCATTTAACCAGTTGTTAAGTACTTGTTGAAATTTTGTGTTTACAGTGACCTCCTATTAGGGTTTGCTGGACCTAGAGTCATAAGGCAGGAGGAACTGAGGTCTTGCAGAGTAAGTCCTGGACACTCACCCAAATTTATCCCCATCTGTGTCACAACCTCTGTAATGAAAGCTGGTGATGTGATCTGAATCCTGCCAGCACCAGCCCAGCATAGTGCCCAGAGAGATCTCTTTAGTAGATAGATCTCTTTAATATTATTGAGGCAATGCAACCATGATTCAAATATGGCAGGTCAGTGAGAGTGATCAGGTAGTATATAAGGGGTCGAGAGAGTTTCTTAGCAAATATATTCCTCACAGTTGGTTCAGAAGATAACTGGACAAAATTCAGGGAGGAGTGTCCCAGGCAGAGCTGCTCTGCCTTAGGCAAGCGATGGACTCTTGCAGTTGCTTTCAGCCCCATTTTTCTATGATATATATGGTTTCGGAACGTAAGAAAAGTCTTTCCTAACCCTACAGTCTGAACTCTAAGCTTGTTTAGGACTGTTATGAGGCTGAGTAAGGCTTCTTTCCTTCGTGTTAGGAGACCAGCTGCTAGCCAGAGGAGACCACCAGAATACCACATGCAACCCACTCCTCGTGCGTGGTAGCAGCTCAAGAGAAGAATATGCTAACTTTGCGCCAGTTTAATATCTAAGCACATGGCCTGACATGATGGTAGTTGATTTGCCAGTTGTGCAAAATGGAATACAAAGATGCCAGGCATCACAAGTTAAAATAAAGTAAATAAAGTAACAGCATCCACATCATCTCTTCTTGCTTCGTCTCAGCAGTGCCAAAGTCAGCCTTGAGCAACTGGCAACTGAGCTGCTAAAATTGCTGTACCCAGAGTCATTGTCACCCACTTAAGCAGTTTCTTATAGAACAGCAAACAGTTTATTCAGCCTTCTCAGGAGAAAAATAAAAAGCTAGAGGAATAAATAACCAATTAGGCTGCTGGATCTCAGATCTAAAAGCAGGACCAGCAACATATGATGAAAAAGCAAAATGCCCTGGGACTCATTTAAAGCAAATGCCCCTCTTGTTTCTGGTTGCACTTCTACTAAAGATAAAACCGTACCTCAACAAAAGGAATTCTCATCTCCCCAAATGAGTATGGAGGAGAGGAATCACTGGTAACATACGTGCAGAGTCTATAACTGCATCACCAGGCAGTTGTTTCTATTTGAGTGCACATCTCGTGCCTCTCAGCTGAAGATACCCGAACAGCAGAATATGC